ATTCTATTCTATTCTATTCTATTCTATTCTATTCTATTCTATTCTATTCTATTCTATTCTATTCTATCCATTCTTAGTCCAAGGTACATTAACTGTAACAAAGCAGCCCTGTGACATATTCTAGAACACCTTAGCTGTTGCTACTTATTTTGAAGTAATAATAAAAAGGGAACAGAATCATCTACTTAACTTGCCTTTTCCTTTTAGGCAATCATGGGGACTGTGTTGGGAAAAGAGAAAGGAAACTGATGATATGATAAAGAAAAAATATGACATCATTCTGGCATCTTAGAAAGAAGCCATTATTGGTAGAAGATCTTTTCCTAAATTTCAAACCTGAAAGCTAGATTTTGCAGTGGATCTTAATGTTTGGTTTGCTCAATAGGCTTGAACAAAATTATGGCCAGAAGGGGAACTTCCTTAGAAGACTGGGTCCTTATCTTGATGTGCCTGTTTTTCTCTCCTTCTCATTTCATGTTCCCTGAGCCCTCCTACTACAGAAGCTGTATTCATTAAAATTGCTCATTGAGCTTCCTAGGGCAGTAGATTCTAGACAAGATCATATTGCTTGTGGAAAATATGGCAGATGGGAAGAGTAGTTAAAGCACCTAGAGATAAATGAGCGCTCTCTCTGTCCTGTCCCCCTTTCACTTTCACAATGATATCTGAAGAAAGATGCCTTTATGATGAAGTGCATTTCAAGCATTGCCTTGCCTTTTCATTTCTTTGCCCAGGGCTCTGACAGGTGTTCCCTCCAGGGCATAGATGCTTCCTATAACATTTGAGTGATGGGAGATATTGTCTGTGACAGCTTGTGTACATAGATTGTGGTTTTATGATGATGGAAAAGTGTGCACTGATTGATTTGCTGAGCTGGGCTGACTTAAAAAGAGCTTGCAACAAGATAGCTTCTCTTGTGCCAAAACACAATTTAATCAACAGCTGACCAATCCATCAACTGGGCAGCAAGGAGGAGGTTGCAAATGCTGGGGAGGTGCCATATGACTAATGGACAAAAATGTCTATTCTTGGCCTAAGCACACTGAGATAAACATACTAATTTCTTTCACCATATTATCTACTAATACCAGATCTTCTCTTTTAAAGAAGCCTGTGCTGGATGGAAGGAAAATGGCCCTAGACTCTTTTCCTTCCTGCTGCTTAAACTTGAATCCTGACATACTTTCTGACACTTACTTACTAAAGGCTGGGGTATTATTTGGTGAGAAGGGAGCTGTCACTCCTGTCTGGTTTTACTTAAATATCAGCCATCTGTGGCAGGTGTAACTTGTGTTGATTTTGCGATGCACAAGTATTTATGAATCCTTGAAAATAATTCTGGCAATAAGGTATTTTGTAGGTATTCATGCACGCACCAGAAATGATGTTTGATGGAAGAAAGAGGAAGTAAAAGAATTCTGCCAAGCATCCTATTAGGTGGAATTAAGGACTTATTTTGTTTCTTGGCTTTTAGGATTGTACTTGCTTGATAACTTTTGACTATATAGTCTCATTGTCAATGATATTCTCAGTCATATTCTCAGTCATATTACAATCACCTTCTCAAAGTCATATGGACAATACAAAAAAATGAATGCTATATTCTCTGACACATATTATTGTCTAGTGCCCAGAAATCAATAAAGAAAGGGTAGAAAGGACATCATGTCAAAAAGAAAGAAACATCTTAGCATGAACCCAAGATTGTCATAAGTTTCTATCAGTTGGGATGTTTGTCTTGTTTTCCAAAGAACATATTACCAATGTCAAATAATTTACCATTTCCAACTGGATAAAATACATTAATCCTTGTTCAGTATTTGATCCTTTTAAAATGCGATCTTGGTACTCTCTGTTCAAGTGTAGAGATATCCTTAAATTAAGGTATACTGGATAAAGACAGAATTGTCTTGATTAAAATCTCAGTTGATTCATAAATGTGAATAAAGTATCTTACTTTCCTATTTGTATCTTCCGACTATGTCCTTCTCACTTTTGTCTACCTGTCCTCCTACGTCTGCTTTTTTTCTTTGTATCCAGTTGTATGCTGTAAGCCTGTTTTGGTAAAGAAAATTTGAAGAACTTAGATCATAGATGGCACTATGTTAGTCATACTATGACAATCTGTCATTTTGTCCACCTAGACGTTCAGAAGAAGAAGGAGGAGAAGAAGAAAAAGAAATAGCTAGTTGTTGCTCATTGGATACTACAGGAATGTTTCATTGGTGTGAAGCTGTCCCTTTTGAAATGGCACTCTTGGTAGGTGATGGACCTAGATGAAAATCTAGATTTATTCAAGGCATTACTTTACTTTTTTAAATTACAAAATCTATTTTTAATTAGTAGGAACTATTTCCATGTTAGGTCATTTTTGCTTGTATTAGCTTATTAGTTTCTTTCATGCAATTTCCATATTTTTAATTAAGTTTTTTATGAGGAATTTAACCTCCCAAGTTTCATTTTTCTGCCTCCTTCAGGAAGAAACTAAAGAGTTCTGAGGTTGTCCTTTTACAACTTTAGATCTACTTTCAATGTATTCTGCACAAATGTCAGAGATTAATAGTAATGTGTTATCCTGTCTATCATTAGGCAGAACCCTGCAGCTTGTAACCCCATCTACTCTTTAGATGTGCAATTATACAGACCATATACTTACTTACCCCAGTTTTGAAATAAGATAATTCTAGACAATTTTTATCTGAGTGGCTGCCAACTTTTCTTTTGCAACAGACACCAAAAAGCTGTGGATTAACGGTACACAAAATGTGTTAATTGTTGGTCCTTGAGACAGTGCATAACTTCTAACATTGGTGATGCCTAAAGTAGTGATGGTCACAGTTATTTATTTATTTAGTCTATGGCATATCATACATGGACTAGCAATATATAATAACATTTCAGCTAGATTAGTAGAACCCAATAAAATATAAATGTTAAAAAGATCTATGTTCAAATATCAATGTTTAGGCCATCTAACCATTGAAGTGCAGCATCATTTATATTTAAAACAAAAAACAAAAACAGATACTGGACCGGAATATGCCCTCAGTTTACAGCCAGTCACAATGTGATCTACAGTTTGACATGAGACCCCACAGTCACATTGAGGGGAGGATGTTAGGCCTCATTTATACAGAGAGGAGCCCCAGAAGATGTGGTCTGAGGTGTAAATCCTATTCAGGATTATCCATTGCTAACATGATACTTCAAAGACTGGCACCTTTTTTGTGTAGTCATTTACATGTCTTCCTATGACTGGGCATTCATGTTTACCATGGTCACAATAATTTGGCTGATTGGATATTTTACTAATACACTCAATAATATAGAAAAATTAACTTATTATTTAAATTATTCATTGGAGTGCCAAACTCCAAGAAGAAATTGGAAGCATCTTTAGTTTGGGATAAGATATTTATGTTCAAACCGCTTCCATTAGAATTAATATGCATATTAGTTTTTGTCTTCAATATAGCAAATTCATCTTTTTGTTTCATGTTCTAATCTAGCTAGCTCTCTTCCTGTACCCCCAGCATCTATTAAAAGGTTATAGAATGAATGACTTCCATTGTTTAGCATCACTTGACAGACTAATAATTGGATTTAAGGCACGTTCCACTAAGTACAGCTTGAAATTTCATTATTCAATTTAAACTAATCCAATTAGTTAGAGATGATCATTTAATTTGGCAATGATTCTAATCACTCATCAGTAAAATTCCCTGACATGAATCTTTTATTTTCCTTCAAAGATAAATCCATTATGAAGAAATGGTTTTATGAATGTTTGCTTGACAGTTCTTGATAGGGAATATTTCAATCATCTAAAGATTTCTTCCATCATACCTAAGTACAGTCACCTTGTCATGTTACATACCCAGTATGACAAATCACCATTATGTTTTCTGACACAACATTACATTATTAGGTTCCCAAAAATCTATAACAAAAGGCTATAACAGACAGAACAGATACAAATCATCTTATAGTGGACCAAAGGATAGTTTAGATTTTTCTAGGAGGTTGAGGTATGTATTTTTTGTTTTGCAAAGATTATGCTATAAATGATAAATCTGTTGAGTGCAAAGAGCTAATCCATAGGCTTGGACTAGATTGTGTGTGTGTGTGCTTTAAAAAAATGTTTAGAAGTTTAATAAATTGCTCGTTTTAAGTACAGTACTTGGTTAAGATCTCATTCAACATGATGAATCACAAGTGGTATCTCTTGATGCCAACCTGTTAAACTTGTAAGAGGTGATAGATTCTACTTTCTACATAAAACCTTCCCAATTTCAGATATCTGTTTTCAGGACCAGGAGGACCAGGAAGACTATGAAAATAGAACATAGCAGTGGTGGATAAACATTATGCTACATCTCAGGAACACAGTTCACAATATCTAAATAGGATTCAAGACATAGAACATGAAACTTAGATTTTCCCCTTCAGTGTTTAGGGTTTCAGATTTATTAAACATTTTCTTTTCTTTGCCATTCTTTGTGTTAAACACTACTAGTATCAGGTCTATACCTCCAGCAAGGGAGGTTACTACCTTTCTCTGAAGCTCATGGCTCTCCTTGATGCATTGCAGTCGAGAGAGCCAATTCTTTTTCTTTCTTTTTCTCTCTCTCTCTCTTTCTTTCTTTCTTTCTTTCTTTCTTTCTTTCTTTCTTTCTTTCTTTCT